TATATATATATATATATATATATATATATATATATATATATATATATATATATATATATATATATATACAAGATTCCAAATATCTAAGAAAAAAAGGACTTTTTTCAATGAGTATGGTTGAGATTCATTGAAAACATATAGATGAGTCAATATACAAAATTTGAGGAAGATTGGAGGTGATTTGGATTGATTTGGTATCAAAATTCGTAGTTAAAATCGAGTTCAAAAAATTCTTCTGCGAACATGTATCACGCATGTATCTCATATGAGGTATACATGGATATACATGTGATACACATTTGATACAAATATGATATATATGTGATACACCTGTTATTTTTTTCATTTTCATCTTCTAGTTCGAATTTTTCAATTCAAACCACCTCAAAACTCCGCCAAATCATCTCAAAATTGAGATACAAGCTCCTTAAGATGTACCCAATATATCCTAATAACACCCACTCAAAAGAAAGCAAAAATTTGACATTTTTTGGCTACAAATAGCTAATCGGCTAATATTAGTAATATTTTATTAATTGGCCAATTTTTGTAATAAGCTACTTATAAATGGGCATAACTGGTATTTTTCCTTGATTAAACTATACTAATAATATAAAATTCTTTACAAAGTCGGCGTATATACTCAAATCCCATAATTTAAGAGATTCTTCCATTTTGGATAGTTTGGTCATACCATAATTTGTATTTACACAAATCCTAAGCACCTACCATAAGTCAAAACTCAAAGCAGTTCCTCTACAGAAACACGGATTGGTGCTAAATAAAGAAATAATAGCAACTGTACAGATTGAAATAGGCCAAGCATACCTCGGCTCATGTAATACCCTTGCAAAATAATTTTTTACATCTGAGTAAAAATTTCCTCCTTCCATCATTACGATATACAAGAAAAATAGGAACGTGTGTATACTCAGCACGAAGCGTCTTCAGGAAGTTCAGATGACGACATTGGCAGAACTTTAGCAAAACTTAGTTTAAGCTGTGACCATCTCTGCTCTTGTAACTCCAGGCTCCATCTCCAAAGACTTCTTCAATCATAGTGTGGGTTGGTAATAAGTCAACTTCACTCTTGGCACAGCTCAAATACCCGATATCCCATTCTTTAGCGCTGCACGGTCCCAACACAAAGTCATGCCCATTGTCACGGCCAATACTGGCAAAATCACTTGCCCAATGTCTACCATTGACAGTCCTTCCAAGAGGTGCTTCCGGAGCACCGCCAGGTGCGTCACGCGTATGGGAGCCATAATAGTTACTCGCTTCATTTGAAACACCTCTGTCTAGGTGCTGAATACTGGGTGTAAAACTGCTGTTAGTATCAAATAACTTATCAGGGCATTCTGCTGATAAATCAGTGAACACCTTCCTGCTACCAAAGCCTACAGGTTTATAGACTTCCCAGGTCGCGACACCAACATTCTCATCATATGCCTGTTTATCATCCCCATAAATCTCATTGCAGCCAAAATCATTTTGATATTCTGGTGATTCTACCACAGAATCCTCATCTCCATCCGTCATTTTATCTTCATCATCAGCAGTGTCATCAATCTCCTGCCATTCATCATTATCACTATCGACGTTGGACGGGTCAAATCTGTTCTGCTTGGCACGTTTTCGCAAAATAAAGACGTTAAAGTAATAGCTGACAAGTTCCCTCCTGGAACGTGAAGGAAATGCACTAGCAAGATTGTTCCAGAAATCCCTGCCTAAAGAAGCAGGGTTTGAGAACACAACCTCATGAAATAAGTCCTCTTCCTCTTCACACCATTTCTCTGTCACTACCTCTCCCATACCACAGAAACCCAACCTAACAAATGTCTCCTCACCAAGGGATATCTTAAGTTTTTCTCTGGCTTCAATGATGTGTAGCCGAACACATCTCATGGAACCTGCGTCCTCACAAGAACATTCAGCTCTTCCCACTCCAGCAATCTCCTCGTGGTCTGCTGTTAACTCTGTGTTACGCATTGGAACGATACAAGTCCCAGCAAATTTATTTTCATCAGAAAAATCATCAACACGATCTGATTCTAGAGCTTGGGATGGAAGATTCATGTTCTCATGTGAATCCTGCACGATGGGTTTATCCTTACTACCATGCCCACCCCATTCTGGCAATTCAGCTTGGAAATCGGGTCCGATAGGCACCAACTTTTGAGGAGAATTTCTCAACAGAGAGAAATATACTTCCCTTGGATGAGTAATGGTCCTGGATGGAAGATAATATTCAGGAGACCTCAATGAGTCAAAAGGCACCTCAAACCTGATGTCTTCTTCACTAGTGCTACTAATGGGCCAAGAAGAGTTTGAAGCAGAGCCATCAATGGATGTATCAGTATCTTGATCAGGAAAAGTGGAAATTTCAGGGGTGTTGCCACTATCAGGTTTCTTGGTATTATCTTCATCTCCACCTAATATAGATATGGAACAGTTCATAACCAAGAATCAAAAAAAGATACCGTATCCAAAAACCATTTACATCCGAAGTCTGCAACTAAAAGTGCAAGCCTATATGACAACCTAGAATAAAACTGCTCAAAGTGTTTAAATAATGTCTCAGGAATTAACAAAAAATTGCCAAATAAATAAAGCATCACAAATATACAAGTCAACGAACAAGCTAGCAAAAATGCTTCTTGAAGAATCAATCCTTTACCTGAAGCATAAGGCTTCATAGCCACTGCTTCATGAGGACAGAAGTCCAAAACTGAAACTAGCTGACTGTTTGGTTCTACATGCCTTGGCTGCTTTGATGAAACCTCACACAACTCTTCACCAAATGGCCTCTTTTGCACCATATTTAACTGTAAAGGGAGTTGCAATAAGATACTGAATTTTGAAAAGACCAGAGAGTAAAAATTGTTCCCCACATTCGAAAAACATGTTAACCAACGCAACCATAATTGCATAATACATCCAGAACTTTAAATGCTATATCAGTGCAAATTGATCCCTCAAAAAGGACAATTAGCTAACACTAGACAAAAAGACATGCTGAAGCCATAGTCATGCACAGCGTTGAGCATTTTTCGATTAAATATAACACCATATTGCATAGCTAAAAAGAGCACTAACTAAATTCTCCATAACAGGCATACTATGCCACTATAACAGTAATTTCACTATCAACAACTATGTCAATAAGAATAATTGAGCTCAGCCAAGCAAGAAGTCATTCTAAAATGTCTAATTAGTGAAAAGCCAGTGAGTCCATGTCCTTTGTTCGGAAATTAGAATAACATTAAATTGGTTATCTTATTATTTGACCCTCAAGGTGAAATAAAAATTTGAAGAGAAAAACGTCTATTTGTCTAATCATATAGGCAGGATCAAACAAATAGACTATTTCTTACAGAATGCCAATACTATTGGGCAGAGCTCAAGTACCTTAATTGTGAAGGGTCTTGGTCGAATTGAGCCGGCAGGATTTTTTTCCAATTGGGGCAAAATTTTAAAGATAAACAGAAATTAAAATGAAATATTTCGTTTTCCTTGAAAAAAATAAAGTGAGAGAAAAAAGGGGACAAATTATAATTATAATATAACAAAAAACCCTAAACCCTAGATCCCAATTTAGACTCTACACTTCAATCAAAAGCAAAATAATAAAATCAACCAGAAATTAATTCTGGGTATCAATAAACTAAACAAAAAAGAGAACGATTAGAGAAGAAACCCTAAATCACAAACTATTTATAGGGAAAATCGATTTTTAAAATATTTTTTTGACAAAATCAAGAGAAATCGAAGAAGAAAAACAAAGAATTACCCAAAAAATGATTAATTTACAAAAATAAAGGAGAATTAGAACAGATCTGGTGAAAATAGAACAGATCTGAAACCCTAACTTCGGAATTCGATTTTCCGAATGGACAGAGCCAAAAAAGGTATCGATCGATAGATGAAGAAAAGAATTAGAAGAATCGGAGATTGATTTGAAGAAATCGAGTAAAAATCGAGGTGGATTTGAGGGAGAAAGGAAGTAGGTTTTGAAATTGGGGGAAAAATTGAATTTGTCGGCGATGAAAAAGGTAAAGCTAGGGTTATCGAAGTGTATTGAGGGAAAATAGTAATGCGGGTGGTCAAAAAGGGGTTCGGTAATTACAGCTAATTACGCCAAATACCCTATGGCTATATATTGGCTGCACCGCGTGGTGATTTTATTAGGCAAATTGGTTAGTCAATAAGTCAAATAGGAGATATATATATATATATATATATATATGAAATTGATCTTGTTTGTGATTGATATTGAGTGAATAATGTCAATTGAGCTTATATTATTTATCCCTAATAATTTGGATATGTTCGATTGAAATAAAATTATAAAATACCTTTATTGAATTTTATTGAGCTTAAAAAAACTTGTTGACGTGAAGAACTTTCTAGTTCACTCAGAAAAGAATGATCGTTGTCAATCTCAAAAATCTGATTTCTATTGAATTTTGAAGATTTTGAATTGAATTTTGATCAATTTTGAAGCAAGAACGCATTGGTCAAAATTTTACCTACAAATTATAACGATCGTATTAATAAGTCGGTAATAATTGTAATCTATCTCTTCTTGTTTACACGTAAGAATGTAATTATTGTTGCTTTTATAAATGCAAGTAGTGGATAGTGATTAGTGAATAATTATTATCAAAGTTAAGACAACTTATGGTTAGTGATTAGTGAATAATTATTATCAAAAGTGAAGATAATTTATACTACAGTCATAACAATTCGTAAAAACTTATGACAAAGCAAGTTCTGGGTCCATTGGGACTTGTGACGTTCCGTCGGGATCAATGAATAATTTTTTCCAAGTTATGATAACTTGTACTACAATAATTTTTGCCTATCCATTTAAATTTGTGGCGATTCAGAAGGTTTAGTGAATATTTTTTATCATAGTTACAATAATTTGTACTACAATCATGACGCTCCTTAAGGACATCTCATCGAACGATTATCAATAAGGTAAAAATTCAAGTAGCCAATCAACTGGACTACTAAAACTCTATGAATTATTACAATTTATTCTAAAAAAAATTGATTAATTAGATTTATCTACCACATTGCCTATGTGTCAAATTATATGATTATTTCTTCTTTTATAATTGTTATGTCCGGGTTGTTTGTTGGGAAAAAAATAATATAATTGTTTTATCCAGACCAAATTATGCACACTGTTGAGTATGTGTTACCTTCTATCACGGGTTCGAAATAATTCTATTTGTCAAGACTTAGATAAATAAAAAGAAATCACTTAGTATGTTTTTTACTCTGCTAGTATTAGGATTGGAACATTAGTTTCCACCAAGACTGGTAGTAAGCACTCCATACAATAGGTGTGGGTTTCCACACTACCCTCTTTCGCCTCCCTTCTCCAATCCCCCTGTACAACCGAATTTACAAATATAACTTTTAAAAAAAAGACATGTTTACTAAGGTTTTTAATCATTGGTTTTGAATGATGATATACAGCTCACTGAATATGCATAAAATTATCAAAAAGGTAAAGGAAATCGTTAGGTCTGCATATCATTTAGAATTACTGTAACTCAGCATAGATAGAATTACGCACAAGTCAAAGCTGCAGCTTTCATCAAAGTCAAAGCTGTCACAATGCCATCCAACCTCAAGCCGCAAAGTTAACCTGCAGAGATATCATTTTAAAAAATCAGTATCATCAACAATAGCAGTTTGAATAGGAAGTGTTAAAATACTATTGATCTAGCATCTCGTGGGATCTCTTTTGCAATGAAAATCTATCACATTCAGAAACTTGATGGACAAAATTATCATGCTACCATGGCACTATATCAGAAATTCTTATCATTTTCCATCTTTTGAAATCGAAGTCACCAATAAATTCCCACAAATATACACACTTAGTGACAAAGATACAGTGGCAAATAGTACAAGCTATAAGCCTGGGACGTGAATGAGAAGAGGCAACTGTCCAGGCACACCAGGCTCTTTGAGAGGTAAGAGAAAGTAATGAACACATACATGTATTCCTATCAGACGACAAGAATGAATTGTCAAAAGTAGGCGTTACAGCCACTAGAAATACTAAAAGCTAGACAGCAACTGAAGGAGCATTATTGTGTAATACAGCTAACGCATGGTTATACAGTAAGGGGAAGTTTTCAAAAAGGAATTGAAGTAAAGATGGTAAAACCAAGATTTAAGAAGATAGAGCGGAAGCCTAATTGAAGTAAAGATAGGAAAACCAAGATTTAACAAGATAGAGCGGAAGCCTTACGTAAACTGCCTGTGGAGAGGAATCACAAGTCAACACCCTCATCAAGCCCTTTCGAACTGATTATGACATTTGAATCAATTTGTTTATCAAACTTCTGTTTACGGCGGGCTTCAAATTCCTTGAAGCCTTCCATCTGAAATAAAAAAGTAAATACCATTATCTGTAAATGACTTTTCCAGGATTAACATAACTGAGTAGTATCAAACCGTGAACAGTAGTGAGTAAAAACCTGTTGAAATTGGTCCATGGAAATGGGATTTCTGTGCAGTGCTATATTTTGCAAGCTCTTGCATTCTCTTAACAAATTTAGAGGCATCTGAGCAACCGGTACCAATAGCAAGCATGAGAATCTTCTAAAAACATATATCTGATAGGAATGAGTGCAAAAACTTGGATGCTTTAAATGGAAGAGACTGTTAGAAGTTCCATCCATGACCACAAATGTGGATGATTTTGTGTAATGAAGAGACCTAGATTTTGCAATATGGTCATTTTATAAGTTAGATACACTGTGCATGTTTCTTTTTGCACCCATACACAGAGCAGCAGTGTGGGCCTTTACGTATACAGATAGTGCGAAGAGGGTTCTTAACTCTGCTTAATAGGATCGTTAGATATTAAGAGAGAGAGAAAGAGAGAGAGCATGCTTCAAGCATCATCAGAAAATATCTAGTATATACAGCATCAGATCTAGCTTTTCAATGAGACAAACAGTCAAACCCTTATCCACGTGGGTTACAATGCATTGCACTTATTTATGTGTAATGAAGAGAGAGAGAGAGAGAGAGAGAGAGAGAGAGAGAGAGAGAGAGAGAGAGAGAGAGAGAGAGAGAGAGAGAGAGAGAATTAGATGGTAACCTGATTGAGATTGTTGTTGTTCAGGCAGAGTGACTTTAATTGAACAAGATTGCAAATTGAAGCAGGAAGCTCTTCAATAGAATTATCTGCGACAAAAAGTTGGTATCCATAAGCAAGACCGCAGAAAAATCAGTAAAAACCTAATTTGGCACTCTGAGGAAAAATAGAACCTTAAATCATGTACAAATATAATGAATGGTACTAAGACTAGTGATTTATAAGCTTAACAAAAGAGAGTTGTGGATGTTCCTTAACTTCTATGTCACCACCACCCTCCCAATTTCATTATTAGCCATGACTTTCACTTAATTTTATATTGATGGTTTTTTTATTAAGGATGCTTCTTTTGTTCTTGTTTCGTTTTGGTACTTTATCCCTCAATGTATATTGGACATGAAGCTCCAGCACCAGGAAGCAAACAAAATATAGAAATAGCAAGAATCAGATAATAGGCGAGCTAAAATCTGAAGGTACCATTAGCTTGCAATTCTTCCAAAGAGAAGCAACTTCCAATAGATTCAGGAAGAAACTTTAACTTATTGTTTGAAACATCCAACAGCACCAACTGCACGGCCAGAACATCAATGTCAATTCAACAGCCTTATGCTCTCAAATAAGATGAATTGAGAGTACTTGAGTCTAGGCAGTGCGCCTTTCTCAGAGAAACAGAAAAACAACATGATCATATAGAACCGAACTCACATACAGAGAAGATCTATAGAATAACAATATATGCGACCTTTTAGAAGGGTATCCACTTCCAGAGGAAATAGAGCAGTTAACTTGATTGAAAGATCTTAACTCATCATCCCAAGTCACCGTACACGAGAATCAGAAAAAGAACAACAAGTGAACACTGTTTTTCATTTCACGATTATCAATGACATTGGAAAAACTTATGGAAAATAAATTTCAATTGAAGTCAGAGGGAATTAAAAAGGAGAAAGTAAAGGCACTCAGTGTGGTGGACCTCAAGACAACCCACAAAGAGCCACTTATTCTCCAAACTCCACCACCCTCCCCAGGGAGCTCGAGGATCCTCTTCCAAAACTAAAATACATGCACAAGATAGACGAGCGACATCATTAACTACCAAGAGGAGAATAGATATTCACAGTGAAGTGGAATCGCTATATAAATTGAGAAAAAGTTGAGCTTCCAGTTGCAAGCACAAAAAGTTCATTAATTTTGACATCAATTTGCTGAATGATTCTCTACTAACAAGAGCGATGGGAAGTTCATTAATTTGGATATCAATTTGCTGAACAGTTCTCTACTAACAAGTGATAAGAAACTCATTAATTTGAATATCAATTCGCTGAATAGTTCTCTAATTAACAAGATTGACACCATTTCTTAACCACCTTAGCATCATTATACATAACATTGAACAATGCAGTAAATCCAGTGCAAAAATAATATTTCAACTGACAACTATATAGAACAGCATAACAGTTTAAGCTGGCACCATATAAACCATCAGAATAGATCACTTACATTCCGCAAGCTCCCAATGGTGTCAGGCAAGCTCGTTAACAAGTTTGCTGAGACAGATAAACGCTCAAGCTTCACTAACTGGCCCACTGAATACAAGAGCATTCGGTTGTTAGAAAAGAGAGTGTAAATATATATATAGCATAAAGACATCTACTAGAATCCCGGGGAATTACTTTCATCAGGCAAGGTTGTAATTTGGTTCCCATCAAGTGTTGCAACTTTCAAAGACTGAAGCAATCCCAGGTTCACAGGCATATGCTCAATAAGGTTATCAGCCAAAATCTGAAAAGAAATAATCAACACTCAATTCTTTGGATAAATCAGACATAACCAACTCTTCATAGTACTGGTTATTCAAGAGCATACATGTATGATATCAATAGTATAAAACATGAAAACCTCTTCAGAGTCGTCAGAAAATAAACACTTCTCACCAGAAGGGAAATGCATACAGTTTTCCCAAGTAGAGCTGATTCGGCTTAGTTGAGCGTTTGAAGGTGTAGAGAATATTCTTGTAAAGATTAGGACAAATTTATTTAGTTTTGACTTTTTGTTGAGTTTTGTAAGCATCCGAGGTTCCTGTTAGCATGGATGATTGGGTGCATTTTATGGAGAACCGTGTTTTCATGTAGGTCCAGTTTTTGTATACCAGTTGTATGTTGGGGCTTTTTCCCACCACATATTGCCTTATCATAAAAAATTGAACTGACTTGCATTCCAAATCCTTCACATGGCCATTTCCTCCTCTAAGACTTCTCTCTCTCATAGCTTAGAATCATCCTTTAAAGTTAAGCTGCCAGCATCTCTCCAGTTTGGTGTTTGCCATGATATTTTGGACAATTGCTATTGCTTAAACCTTACATTTCCAACCGAACAAACCACTTATTATTTACTAGAAAACATGTTTAATCATTCCCCTCAATATTTAGCAAACCCGTTGATATAACAAATGAGAGGGTAGAACTGCCAGCCAGCCATATGCCTGAAGAAACATGAGGGGCTTGCTTTGATATCATGTAAAAAACTCTATCTTAGTAATGATTGACTAAAAGGAGAGAAGCTTTTAACCACATTAGTGGTATGCTTCTTCCTTCTATCAGGACATGAAAATGCCACGAGAAAATTCAGATCGGATTTTTCTTATTAGAGTGTATTACAACGGTAGAGGGAATTGGTTGTTGTCTAGTATATGGTCTTGAGCAAATCCTTGAGTTAGCTTTTGAGGTTGAGTTAAGCCTAAGGTCAATTTTCTTAACATGAAAGTAGAGCCAGACTTATCCCCCTTATGGTGTTTTCCAGTGTGCGGCCTCATGTTATGTTGTCCAAGCTCCAAATTTCAGTCCTAAGCAGTGGGAGGAAGGGGGAGGATGTTAGAGTGTCCCACATTGGTTGAGGGAATGAGTTTTGTCTCCTTATGCAGTCTTGGTCAATCATCACCTTTCGAGCTAGCCTTTGGGGTTAAGTTAGGCCCAAGATCCATATTCTTAACAATTCTTAACTAAAATAGAAAAGAAAAGAACTCGCAACACTTCGTCTGATATAGCATAATATTATCTACCTTAGGAGAAGGTTTTGGTAAATACTAGAGATATTTTTATTTTTTACAGTGCCAAATAAAGCTCAGTCAGTTTGCGTTTATGCCTATTTTGCAAGGTTTTTAAAATTTAGGAGTACCTGCATTAATTATTTAGTAGGACTTTCCTTCCCCTTGTACAACTTTGGGTTATTAATGGTAAATTCGTTCTTTCTTTCTTATTCTTCTACTTTTCAAGTAAACTGAGTATTCAGACCAATTACTCAATCCCCCCCCCCCCCCCCCCAAACCAGCCAGACCCAATCAAAAATATTCGAGAACACGCAAAAATACCAGAAATATTGGGGCAGGTGCAAAAGGTTGTCTCCCTTAGGGATGAAGCAGAAAAGAAAGAAAGCAATTATAGCCTATGTCAGAATTGGTGACACTAAGATAGAGTAGAACATCAATAACAACTATACTCAATCCCGAGCTAGTACAGTCAGCTATATCAATCCTTAGTAGCCATTTTGCTCCGTTTAGACCTGTTTCGTTCCAATTCTCAGTAATTTAGGTTTTTCCAACAGTGGAGATTCCTCATTCTCTTCCCTTCTCTTATATTATCACATTGACAACATCACGCCTTCCAAAAGAAGCTAATCGTACCTTGCTAAATTTCTCTTCCACAATAAACCGTGTACCTTTTTTCCTAAATGACTTTTGGCTCCAAGTATATGACCAACAATTCTGACCTAGCTTTCATCATGAGATGTGGGCGCTGATAACATAATAAGGTTATCTTATCAGATATTCTTCTTTTGATGAAGCCCCTTTGACACAAAGATAGGAAACAAACATGTAAGTTTGTAGTACTTACTAGACGCTGTAAGTTAATTAACTTGTTGATCTCCATGGGAATATGAACTGCCACAATGCAAAGACTGAGAGATTAGCTTCAGGAAAACAAAAGGCTTCAGGTAAAATGAGATTAAAAGATAAATGACGTAAACAATTTCCCCAAGTAACAGTGTAACACAGGCATAAGCATAAATAGCAGTTGCAAAGGAATTGTTGTGATTTATCTTTGTACTCTAACTGGCAAGAAGATAGGAATCAAAAGCTTGAGAGATTATTGCAATACCCAATTTATTGTGTGTCAAGTCGAGGGTGCGTACAGATCTCTCCAGGCTAATAACTTCATCTGGAAAAGACTGTACAAGGAAAAAACAGTCAGGACATCATGAATTTGACTAATAGAAAGGATTAAACTGTGTCCTTATCTGACATATTTACATTCCTTCACAGCAAGCATTATTCGTTGAAACCAGCAAATAAACAACAGTAACTACTGAATCCATGCTACAATCACTTTGACACTATCCAAGCCTTGTACCCACCTTCATGAATTAAAGTCAACGGGATCTAAACCTATTTCCTTGTAAAGCCATACCACCAATTAGATTAGGAAACTCATACAAGCATGCATGTTGAATATATATATGTGCAATACATGCGCACGCACACACAACACATGGACACTTCATGATTAAAACAATCATATCTCATCACTAGTCGTGGACAGTCAGTAGTTTAGGAAGGGAAAGATCCACTTTCAGTTAAAAATAATTGCATGTCATCATCGCCAGGACTCCCTTAAATCATCTACTGGTCCTGATGCCACTAAATGCAGTTACTCCCTCTCTCTAATTCAGGGGTGGATCCAATGTTACGGTAGCATAAATTTATGTGTAAAAATCCACGAAAATTGCAACAAATAATAGATATGAATCCATAATGTTAAAAATATAATGGGTTCAACACTAAGAACCTCAAAGGTTGAACCCATAGAATTTAAATCCTGGATCTGCCTCTGCTCTAATTTATGGGGCACAATCAATTGAACTAATTCTCATGCAGATCATTCACTTTTCAGAAAAAAAGTTCACAAATTTAAAATTTATATTACGAGTCTATGTGATCATGACTGTGCGAACCTTGTAGCAAAAATGTTAAAGACATTACAGAGTGCAGACAAAAGATGCATCTTTGACTCATGAAAATGAAAACCTTTCACAAAGGAATTACTTAAAAAGTAACCTGATACTAGTTTTCACTGAATGTATTTGGTCAATTGTCCATTTCTTTTTTCCTGCTCTTTCATATCAAACCTCTAGGTTCCTTAGAGAACAGAAAACATTCTAGAAAGAGATACATGGATTAAATTCTGCTACATGAAGATGATTAATTATGTATATCTGAAATAGTGAACTTAATCTATCGGCACATTAACTTTTTTGCTCTTAGGCAATTTACTCCAAAGTGTCATGAAGGTTAACATCCAAGTCAATTCCACAAAATATTCATAAACCTCCTCATAAGAAAGTAAAACGCTTCTGGCGCCAAACAACTCTATAACATAGACAAAAAGGAAACAGCACCAAAATCTGAAATACAACAAACAGTCAATCAGAACACTTTTCTTTGAAGCGAAAGTCCATATTTTCAGTTGACGGATATTTAATCCAAAAAGACAGTAATTAGAAAAACACAGGGCAACATACACTGGGCTAATAAATCAAGCAATCAACTAAACCTTAAATCAAAACTACTCGCAATCGACTATATAAATCCTCTATATCAGTTCCGATACTCGGTCTATCATTTCATTTCAATACTAAATGGAACAGTCAGCAAATAGTTGTCACGAGAAATTAACAAAGGGAGAGAAGAAATGAAATGCCTTCAATTTGGAGTCGCGTAAAGCAACGATGCCAGTAGAACGCCATCGAGCCATTCGGGTGGCTTTAGTATCTGCCGCTTTGCTACTGCAACACCCCATTTTCGATCACCAGATTCTACTCTTTCGATTAAAGGAGTGAAGAATAAAAAAGTTATGGAAAAAACTAAAAAGAGGTCGAGGAAAAGAGGCGTTGAAGACTATTTTGATGAAAGCGTGTGTGAGTTTAATTATGATTACGGGACTATTTATGTTGTCGGATTTATAGCGTTGACGTTGGATTCTCCAACTCTCAAATGACACTGGCATTAATATTGGGACACTTTGGTTTTCGTTACTGGGACCAACATGTGGATTGTGGCCAATCGCCCATACAAATATACTCCCTCTATTCTCGTTTATCGAAACCTTTTTTTTCTTTTGGATTGAAGATTATATATGTGATAGAATATATGTTTTCTTTTTTTTTTTTTTTGAATAACAGGGATCTTATTTATAAATATCATATAATAGTAGAGTTCATACAACTATAATTGCCCGGTGGGACATTTACTACTTGGCTATTACATAACATGTCACAAAGGACATTTTTGTTTTCAAAATAAGCTAGTTTGGCTTCCCTGAAAATGTGGTGGATTTCCTAAACCTTCACCTGGTTCATTGACGACCTGCACTCAAGAATAATATTATTAAAAAGAGTCATTCCATTTTCCAAACAATTAATGGCCAGTAGAGTCCGTTTCCACTTCTAAATTGGTAAAGCCTTGTTCTTTTGCTATTTGGAGGCCTGCTTTTAAAGCCAACAGCTCCGCCTGTAGGGGTGATAAGCCTGGAAGGGCTCCATAGAAGCCAAGTATCCGGTGACCCCTACTGTATCTGAAAATACCACCAAAGCCACATAAAGAATTTGCTTCCATAAACGAACCGTCAGTGTTAAGCTTAATAGTGTTTGTTGGAGGCTGATAAGAATAAGTTTGTGAGTTGTTTCTTCATTTTGCGTAAGAAGCTTGTATTGCACCGCTTGGTTAAGGGCATGATGGAGAGCCGGCTTATTTGAGGTATTGTTAAAGAGATTATTATTCCTATTAGTCCAAATAGCCCATATAACGAAAGGAAAAATATTAGTCCATGTGATAATACTATTCTCAACGGATATATTATGGTCCCTAAGATTAGTTACCCAATTATTACTAATATTTCTTCTGCTCATGTCCAAACCAAGTTGAAGCCTTAAATCCCTTACTGCTAGGCAGTCTAAATAGACATGAGTGATAGTTTCTTTTTGGGCTTTACAATAAGAGCACACTGGATTGATGTTAATACCAATATAATTTAAATGACTTCTAGTAGGTAGTCTATTGTGAAGACATTTCCAAAGTAAGAACTTCAGCTTATTGGGGCACTTTAGGTTCCAAATCCACATAAAATCTATATCGTTGATAGGGTGATTTTCGATTAAGGTATAGCAAGATTTTGTAGTAAAAAGCCCATTCGTATTGAGCGACCAAGTAGGCGTGTCACAATTGTTGGCATTGGGTGTTATAGCCTTTATTTTGTTCATAATGTTAGCTTCTAGACCCATGGAGATTTTTGAAAGATCCCAATTATTATTACTCCAAGGATCCTTTATAGTAAGCAAGTTATCTGATTGGGTCAAGGGGCCAGAAATACACTAGCAAAGAGGGGGAGTATTGTGAATCCAACTACTATTCCAAACACTAAGGGTTGAGGACTTATGAGGGATCCATGTAATGCCCTTATTACAAATTTTTCACCCTTTCAAGATACTGTTCCATATGAAGGAGGAGTTTATAGCAGTTTTCCTATAACCATGAAGTTGCGTAATTAATTTTGCCTAAGGAGAACAAGTGTTAGTAAGCAGTCTCCAAGGTCTAGTTACGGATGAATTAATTAAACTCATCCGATTGCTTTTCTGCATACTTCTCTTTGAATCTCTTTCGGCTTATCTCTGATTCCGTAACTAGTACAAAGAAATGTGGCAGGACCGGTTTCACAGGGCTTCGCCTGGTCAGAGCCGAAGAAATACCCAGCCTCAGTGAGTGCGTCAGGCCAATCTCGACTGACCATGGTGGTTGATGCTTTCAAAGCAAAAACATAGAAAAAAGGAAGTCAAAGGCAAAGGTCCCAAAGGCAGAATAAAGTAAGAAGGCTAGAGCCCACATGGGCGAGTCATCATGAAGTCCTAAGGTTGAATCCGTTCGGTTTGAAAAGAGATTCACCCTCAAGGCAAACAGCAAAGTCCCCAACAGGAATGGGGCCGGGATCAAGCAATGGAGATGATCGAGGCCACAAAACCAACCACCGTTTCAAACTAACAAATTGTTCTTTGGTGAAAACAGGTCTAATTCGAAGCAACCGTGCAAGAAGTAGGTGCAATCCAAAAGGAAATGAAATGCGCAAGCGCTGAAACAGCTTTGCAGCATGAAAACAACCAAAAAGGAAGTTCCCCCCCCCCCCCCCAAATTCTTCAATGCGTTTTGCTAAATAAAGGGAAAAACATGAAAAAGGAAAAAAAACAAAAGATAGAAGAAAGGAGAAAAGAAGTTAAAATAAAAAACCCAAAAAGAAAAACAAATCATGATAGCATAGGATCCCATTCCTTAAATATCCCGGAACAAAAACCGAGGATCTCCCGGCACAAAAACCGTGGAGCTTTTTCTTCCCAAATCCCGGAACAAAAATCGAGGATCTCCCGGCACAAAACCGGGGAGCTTTTCTTCCCAAATCCCGGAACAAAAACCGAGGATCTCCCGGCACAAAAACCGTGGAGCTTTTTCTTTCCAAATCCCGGAACAAAAACCGAGGATATCCCGGCACAAAAACCGTGGAGCTTTTTCTTTCCCAAATCCCGGAACAAAAACCGAGGATCTCCCGGCACCAAAAACCGTGGAGCTTTTTCTTTCCAAATCCCGGAACAAAAACCGAGGATCTCCCGGCACAAAAACCGTGGAGCTTTTTCTTTCCAAATCCCGGAACGAAAACCGAGGATCTCCCGGCACAAAAACTGTGGAGCCTTTTCTTTCCCGGAACAAAAACCGAGGATCCCTTTTATACATTCCCATTTTGATTAGAT